AGAATAGAATACCACATAAAAAGTATCATTCATGTAAACTCACTCTTTAGAGATAGCCATGTGGAATGTTTCGCCTTGTTGCAATGTTTGTACCGCATCGACGGCAATTTTAGACACAGTTCCGCCAATGCTTCCGAATGAACCATCACTAAGCAATAAAATAATGATTATTATAAAGCTTTATTTATGGAAATAAGCTCTGCGTACCGAATGGAAACCATCGACATATGATTGTTTTCATTGTTTTGTCCAAGATTCCCCGAACGATGATGATCAGAGTTGGGTGAGTTTAAATCAGTTTCGTCATCAGCTCTTCCAAGCGCCCTATTATTTGTTCTATTTGGTTTTTGTTTATTTGCGAATTCAATAAATTAAACATTACTATGATATAAAATTAAGAGAAAATAATCAATATTTATGTACAACTTGTCTTGTTTGTTTGTTTGTGCGTTTGCTTCTACGACAGCTTGTGAATCGTCATCCAACCTCGAATTGGCGATCGAAGAGTGCAAAACTCCGATGAAAAATAATATAACAAGTTTTGAGACTAACATTTTTGCGGAACTGAAAACACTTGTTGAACAGATGCTTTCGAAATGGTTTGTGCCATGTAGCCACATTCACTTAAAAACCATTTCAGCGAACACAACTTTATTGCAATATTTCCAATTATTAGAACAAATTTCATTTGTCAAACACGTTTTTTCCTTTTTAATGAAATTTTTTTTTGCAGTGAAGTTTGTCATTGAAATCTTTATGAGAAAATTATAGTGATATCAGGAAAAATGTAATCAAATTTATAACTACTCAATCAATTTTATCATTTTAGAATATTTAGAAACCTTCTTTCGTTTTTATTGTTGATCAAATTCGAAACTATTCCGAATCGATATCATTATTATTTAAGTTTACGTATTTTTGTCAATTTCATCAACTTTAGATGAGAAACATAACATTAAACAATATTAAAAAAGTAAATGTCCATCTAAATTGGTTTATGAATGAAGTTTTGGTTAAATTCAAACGAAAAATTTTTGTTAATTCGTAGAATATACTCTTGTCAGAGAGTTAAACATTTGATTTTATTTCCGATCGAAATTTCCTTGAATAGTTAACATCAACCGACTTCTTTCTCTCTTTAATTGAAATTGAGGCTCTACTACATAGGATTTTTTCTTCACATTTTGCTCTAATCCAATGTTTTTGGCTTCAAACATCTGCAAAGATTAAATTTGCATGAAAACAATTTTATGTAATAAGAAAAAAGGTATTCAAAAGTCAAATATTACTGATGAACATTTTTATGCTTGATTCAAAGAAACTTACGCAATTAATCCACTTGCGAAATTAAAACGTCGTACTTTCTTTTTTCTGGTGCTTGAATCAATATTTGTTTTTGTCGTCTTCTCTTTTCCGCGCGAACTAAAGTATGATGTTAAATTGAAGTTGTACTTGAACATAAAATGTGATTAGTAAACAGATCTTACAATTTTATTGGAAGACATCCTTTCTTCATTTTTGCTTTTGATTCATCTTTGATTTTTGTTACGATTTCTTTTTCATTCCTGAAAAGTCATACTTTTATTATTAATTCTTAAAGAATGGTGTTTGCTCTACTTACTGCGAAGTCTCGTTCATTTTTATTTCTGTTCCTTTTAATGACTGTAATGTTTGTTCTGAATGATGTTCCGGTGCTTGCTCCAATAGCTGTTCTATTGTATTGTCCTGCTCTTTCTGTAATAACGTAACCAGTTCTTTTTCAATTTCTTCATATATGACTTGACTGTTGTCTATTCCTTCTTTTGGGGAGTGAGTTTCATTCTTATGCTGTGCTTGGACAGTTTCCTTTATATCAGACTTGAGTCTTGACGTGCAATTGTTAAATCGAATCCAATTGAAAATAAATTTAATACAAATAAGAAATATATATCACATTTTACCTTTCCGCAACTTTATCAAAAACTACTCGTGTGCATTTGCTATATACATCATTGTCCACCTGTTGACCACTTTTGTGGAAAGAAAATAAAAAACGCAAAAGTATTACACCGGGACCATGAAGTGCGTTGGTATTTTTCGTACTTCATACAGTTACGAATTTCGTAACCAATCTTCACCACTTTTCCGCTTGGAAAGCTTAAGAAGGCTTGTTTGCAGCGATCGGTGAGTGCACATTGTATGTCGATTCCACTATAAATGTCTTTCAAGAAGCCAGCTATATTCCTAGATATTCCAGCATATCTAGTTAATAAAACTCGGTTTGTGCTAAAATCGATTTGAATTTTTCCATATTTTGTCATGTTAAGAAACACTTCATTTACGACAAACCTATCTAATCCTGAGGTGGCAACAGCTTTACTTGCTTCTACTATGCTTTTCGATCTAATATACGCATTGGTACCATCAACGACACTAAATCATGAATCAAATAAAATTGATTATTAGGTGCATAAAATCGTATCAGTATTATTTGATATTTATATGAGTTTTACGCTCTTCCCACTCCTACAAAATGAATTTCAAAAAAAAATAATAATTAATTTTTGTTTTCTTCACTATACTTTTCTTTATTTACTACTTTCCTACAACTAATTTTGCTTCGAATGGAACTGCTGGATTACCCATCGCAAAATTTGCACCAGTTTTTAATGTATTTTTTACTAGAACAGTTTTACTCATTGCAGCCATTAATGCATTGTCCCTTGGGGGACAAATACAGTTAATTACAGCAAATAAGAAGAAAAACTTCATTGTTCCTGTTGTCGTTTGCAAGCTCGACTAGATCAAAATGAGGCATTGTTCCATCTTTATATTCCATCTGCTTAAATCATATTCATTCGTAATTTGAATTAAGAACAGTTGCTCTGAGAAGATTAATTTAATGCAAACATTTACATTTTTCCATATTTATGAATCGAACCCATTATGACGTTTGAAAGTCGCGTTTTATATTCCAAGTGAAAAAAGATGTTGCCCACGAATATAACCTTCAACCAGAAAAGATAATAAAAAGTCCCAGAAACGGTTATAAATCGTTATCGATTTAAAAAATATCCGAATACAATTATTTTATAAAATAATTTATATTGTATTCTAAATGAGCGCTTTACTGAATGCAAAGTATTGCTAATGCAACAACAAACAATCCTTTTGTGGTTGTGGTCAATTTTCTGTTATTTTGAAATCAATCTAAATACGCATCGTATAAATTCGATACCATTAAATAAGAGTGGATTAATAGCTAAAATTGAACGAACTCTATTTTAATATTTCTTTGAATTTTGTGAAGGAGCAGACATTTTTACGAAAAAAAATCATTTTTATGTTGGTTCTTCGGAACTTCCGAACAAATGAACAAAAATAAAATGTTGACCCAAAAAGTTCAAATGTTTGGAAATATTTGGACCGGAAAACGCTTTTGGTTATGTTTTCATCTTAAATCAGGTTTCCCGTTCTTAGTTAATCAATTTTTATCATTCAAGTAATGAAAATATTAAAAAAATCGATTTCAAAAGGAAAGAATGTCCTAAAGTGATGAATTTAAGCAACCGATCAATCTATAAAAATACGTTTTAACTCCATTACACCAATATCGAGTGTCAAGTTGACTTTGTCAACCGGATTTGAATACAGCAATTATATGAAAATACCGATAGCTATTTTGACATTGCGAAAAATTCATTTGAACAATTCTACTACTCATGCTTTTTTTCGTTTATGGAAAGTTTATAGGAACTAAATCTGGCTCCATGTGATGTTTAGTCGAATTTCATCTTAAGATCATTAGCGAAACACGTTTTATCCACATGTCATGTAATATGGTGAATATATGAGTCATATTTAAAAAAAGAAAATTATTATTTCTTTTTTATTTTTATTTTTATTTTTAAACGAATGTCATATTGACTACGTGTCTAAAATAACGTGGAAATAGAGTCTTATTCCATTAGATCCATTCAAAGAAATAATAAAAATTATAAACAAATGTTAACACTAAATAAATTGTATTACTGTATTATGTCGAACTAATTAGGTCGATTGTATCGTGTTGTACTTTCAATAAATTTGATCAAATAAAATATAAATGGATGAAAATGAAAATGGGATATTATTTTTTTGTTGCTGATATCTAGCAATAATAGGCATTTTTTCATATAAACACGCTGTTATCTTATTTCTCAACCATTTTTATTTGTACATTTTCTTATGGAGCTTAAACACTGCAATTCTGCAGTTCCATTTTCATTTATAATGTCTCTCACGAGGGTTCCTAGGGTTCGGATTACCCCCCTCTGAAATATTTTTAGGAACTGTTTGAGGGTTAGGAATTTGGGAAATGAGGACTTTTTTTTTGCTCTTCACTTTTTTTTGCCGAGAAAATTCTTCCGATTTGCTAGGGATTTTCGCCAAAAAAGTGAAGAGCAAAAAAAAAACGATTTTATCCTCATTTCCTACAAATTGTTGACATCGTCAGGGACCCTCCATTGGATTTTTCCAGGGACCCCCTACGGAATTTTGCCATCGGTTCGCTAGATCTTGAACACCCTTTTTACACACAAGTTCCTACTTACGAAGATATCATTTTACACCCAGAATTTAATAAGGATGGACTACTTTCTAATAATATAGCCATGATTAAATATAAAAAAAAGAGTTACCGTTCGGCCGAAAAGTCGGAAAAATATTTAGATATTATACTGATACGTACACACCAAAACTTGGTGCTTCAGTTACTTTGTTTGGATACCCACACCATGAAAATCGTATCTACACAAATTTACTATATGCCAAAACGGCAGTCGGGAATATCCATTAAGTGAGAAACACTTTTGTATTGAATCGTATGCAACAAAAATTATATTAGATGGAGTGATAATAACGCTCGTCCGCGACCATCACAAAGTGTCGTGACTTCAGTTCATCCATATCGCGATTTCATCGAAAATCCAAAGGTACCTTCTCTCCATCCGATTTTTTTATGATTATTTTTAGTTGTACGTGAATCAGTATCGCAGATATATTGGAAAGATTCAAACCAGAAGTGTTGGAAAAATTGTATTCAAATGAAACAATAGTGGTGCGAACGCATTCCAAACTTTATACACTCTTATACATATACATTTTCTAAGCACTCTTTGAGTGTAATATGTTTACATGTGTTATTGTGACATATATTGAATTATCAAGAATACAAACAAAATATTCAATACAACCAAATTCGTCCTGACTTTCATTTATTTCCATATCAGAAGATAACCTAACAAAGTAAAATCGCTCAATGTACCATTACCAGCTATCTACCACATTCCTGAACACTGACTTTAAACTAATAGATCGACACATCGAACATAACTCCCAAGTAAATTGACAGTTTATTTTTTGGAGCTTCATTTCATCGTTTTTTTTTTATTAATGTCTATTTATACAATACATGAAATATATGACCGATTCGCCTTATATTCGTATTGTAAAACTTTAATAATTTGCAAAGTTTAAAACTTTTTTCTTCTTTGTGATCTCTTTATCTTCTGTTTCATCTTTTTATTTTTTTGGCTGTTATTTTTCGATTTGGAACTAAATATAGAAAATGTACGTACATTAAGCACAAATATCACTTTTTTTAAAAATTATATTATACCTTTCTGGTAGCGAATCTATTCTTTTCACATCATCATTCAACAATTCCAGCAGCTGTTTTCTCGCTTCATTATATTTCTCATCGCTAGGATTTTCTCTATTTTATTAACAAAAATTTGATTGAAATAAAATTTGTATTAAAAATAAGTTATTTGAGTCATATATCATACGTGCACTTACGAGAAATGTTCTATTCCACATTGCAATATTGATCCACCCGGAATTGAATCGTAGATACCTTCTTTGACTCTAAAATTCAAAAACAGATTGGTTGGCATTCAGAACAAAGCAATAATAAATCATATGGAACTTGACGACATATATACCTATCTTTAATTGCAGTTTTTTTCTCCTTTCCATCATAAACGTCTTTCGCCAACACTGCTGTGCCTCTTGTATACATAGAATATTCTGGTAATAAAATTTTGTTCGTACTAAAATTATAAAAAAAAATTCCTTAATTAGTTAATTTCCATGTGCAAAAGAAATGATCAGCTATTATAAACCTGTCTAAAGCTGAAGCCGCAACAGCTTTTCCTGCATGCACAAAGCTTTTTGTTTTAGAAAACTTTCTCACTCCCTCTGTAACACTAAAAATGCCATTTACATAATTTTTAAAAACTGAAAAGCTTTAAAAATGTCAATTACGCTCGAGAGGTTCCAATCGCAATTTTCGCCTCCATGGGCACCAATGGATTTTCTAAAGCGTAGTCTAACCCAGTTTCTATCAATAAATCGGTTGCTTTTCTGAACAATTCATTATTATTTGGTGGCGGTGGTGGTGGTGGAGTAGGTGGCGGCAAACACGAAATGATGCCGATACAGCAAAAAAGTATTGATAAAATTGGAGTTGTTTTCATGGTTTCAATCGGTGGCAAAACTCAACTAAAATATATTGGAATAGCGGCCTATTTTTATATTCAATTCGCTGCGTAAACTCCAATATTTAAGATTCGTCAAAGATTATCATGTGAATAACGAAATTAGATGAAAACAGTTGCTTATGGCGTTATATGACAATATAATAATATTTTTTTTTACATAAGCTAAGAATTATCTGAAAGATAATTTTACGCACAAATTTCATTTTTAAAAGTGTAATGTAAAATGTCGCTAGCAGAAAAACATTTGTTTTCTTTTTCATTTCGAAATTTTGCAATTTCATCTATCATACACAATTTATTCCCCGAATTCGTAAAAAAATGCCTTTGAATAACATTTAAAAGTATTTCATTGAACAAATATAATAAAAGAAACATATTTCACTGTTTTTCACAAATAAGACGTCAATCAACCGGTGTATATTTGTATGAGATTGGAGAGCTATTTTTACGGGAACTTTTTACCCGCGCCATCTCTAATTATGTCAGTGAACTTGATTTATAGTTCTGTAGCATTGAAACGAACATGGAAACGAAGAAGAGGAGAAAAAACATCTGTGATGCATACATACACATATTCTTTCATTCCACTAGCATACGTATCTCACTGGTCATCTATGTAGCCGTGTTATTGTTGTTGTTTTTTCTCTTCTTCGATTCAATGCAGTGGAACTAAATTGAGTTGAACTATGGAATGAGAGATGGCGCAAATGAAGGGCTTCCGCATTTTAAATCTTCATAATACGGTCCGCTTGACGTCAATCCTTTGGAATTTATCATTTAATATCGTTATAAATTTGAACAGCTGGAAAAACAACTTGACTTGGTACTTAAAATCATAATATAGTATTCAACTAAAATTTAAGGCTTCTATATACGAATTTAATCAAGTATAAAAGAAATTCAACGTATCTTTTTAAAATTAGTAGTTTGCAACGAACGGACGAAACAATGAAGTTTTATTTAATTTTCACAATCATTTATTGCTGTATTGGTAGCATTTTGAATGCCCCACCACCCCCAATCAAAAATGAATTGGTGAAGAAGGCAGCAGGAACGGCAGTCGATACCGGAATAGACTATGTATTTGAAAACCCATTGGTGCCAGTTGAAGCGAAAGCTGCCATCGCAGCAGGAAAAGCGTAATGAGAATATAAAATTGTTTTACTTTTTTTTATTGTATTAAAAAAGATGCTTTTTCCACCATCCAGTATCGTGCACGGAACAAAAGAATTTCTCAGATCAAATAGCTTGGTGAATGCTGGAAAAGCTGCAATGGCTTCAGGCTTAGAGAGGTTTGCGATATGTGAATTATTTTTAAAGGTCAACAAATTAAAAGTATCAATTCTTCAGTACCAACAAAGTCTTATTACCAGAATATTCAACTTTAACCAAAGGTGGAGCTGCACTCGCAAAAGATCTTATTAGTGGAAAAGGCATGTCATCTTCATTTAAAGAAAGGTATGATTTTATGTTGGATCATTAAAATATGAGTTTGTCTTAATGCAAAATGATTGCGCCATGAGTGAGTAAATAATCAATTTTAATTTTCAGATTAAAAGAAGGTTTAATTGATTCTATTCCTGGTGGACAAGTAATGGACCTCTGCTATGAATATTTTAAGTGAGTGAATGATCACGCTCTTTTTATCTAAGAAAAATAATTTAAATGACTTATATTTTCCACAAACCTATATTTTACAATATTCTTTTTGAATCAGCCAAAATGACCCTGAATATGAAGAATGTCGAAAACAACTCTCATTTGATATGGAAGAGCTTAAAAAATCACTTCCAGGAAGGTACGATGTTATTATTTAGTAATTTTATTTCAATAGTATCAATTTTCTTCATTTTCTCAATTAGTTCAAAGCCTCAAACAAGTCAAAGCCAAAACAAGAAATTGAAGAAGCAAAAAAGTAAAAATAAAAAGAGCTGGAAGTAATAGAGTATTGAATGAATAATCAGTTTAATACATTTTCACCACTCATTCGATTTAATTCCTAACTACGTTCAAAATTCATTATCCAATAATCAAAGCACTCAATTGTTTTTTTTTTAGACAATGTAATTCAGAAATGAAATAAATCGACATTTTATCTTAATAACGTTTTTTTACTTGGTTCCTATTGTATGGAGAGATTGAAGCCTGAAAAAACTGAAACAACTTAAATTTAATAACAACAGTTTTCTCCAAAAAATTACCACAAAATAGTTATGATCAAATTCCAATGAACATTTATTTATAATTTTTTGCGTTACACGTGTACTTTCATACAAACCCAAAAATGTTAACACAAAACAGTCATTGTGCTACTGAAAGTGTAACTAAGAGACAAATGAAACGAATATTCAACAAATTTTTCTAAATATTATCTCGTCGTTGATAATAAACGTTTAATAAGAAAACTGTTTCAACCAAATAAATTCAAATATCGATAATATTTCTTTCTAGTTCATGCTCTAAATAAAATTTTTGTCTTTGGCCAGTAGTTTTTATTAATTCTTTGATTAGAAAAATATGTTTTTTTTTTTCATTCAAGATATTTCTATTAAATAATTAAGAAAAACATTTTAAATGTGAATATGTCATTTCATTATGACAATTTTTCGACCTATCAATGTTGCTTCAATCCTCTGGATCACTTTCGGTTTCTGGGGCCAAACAAGATGTGAAACTGTGAAAAATTGGAAAATAAAAATGTTTGCTTATCTAAAAATAAAATGATTTTTTTAAATCATACTGTTTATGAAAACTGGAACAAGTTCTTTGCAGTTTTGCATCTTTTCTTTTCTTCTCAAGAGACGTATTTGGGCTCAATCTAAAATATGAACATTTTATTGATTAATATCAATTGATATTTAAGTTTTAACAAAATGTTTACATTTTAACTTTTTTCGCTAAATCAACACCTGGAACATTTTGTTTCAAAGCTTCTTTGCCGCTGGAAATATTGCATTTTTTTTATGTGCAACAATCAAAATAAGAGGAACATGAAAATAGATAACACACCTTTCCGTAATAACCTGTTGGGCGCTTTTTCCATCTAATAAGTCTTTTCCTGCATCGATTCCAAGCGTCAACGCCTGTCCACCTGGAAGATTTTTAACCGTTTGTTTGCCTCTAAAGACGGCGAATTATTATGAAATGATGCTTTTTATTTTTTTTAAACTCATTTTCATACCGGTGTAAGACTGAAGCTTTTACATCCTTTCCGTCATGAATGTCCTTGACAAGACCAGCTCCATTTATGAACCCATCAGCAACACCAGAAGAACTATTTTTTTTACGCTTTATTTTATTCTTGCAACGCTCAAAGCTAAAATCAAATTACCTAGCAATGCCTGATTCAATGGCAGCTTGACCTGCTTCGGCCAAGTTTCCAGTCTCATGGAACTTCTTTACTCCTTTAACAGTACTGTGGAATGACACGATGAAATGATTTATTAATAAAGCATAATACATTCGTATAAATTTCATATGGAAATGTACTTACGCCTTGGCAGCCGTAAGTGTTACAGGATCTACTGCAAGATCTGCCCCAGCTTCAACAAGCGGATTTTCTGCAATCTGTGTTGCCGTTTTCACTGCTTTTGAAACTAAATGTTTCCCTTTGTCTGCAGCTTTACTACCTTTACCTTTGCCCGGTGTTGGAGCATTCAAAATGCTAGGGATAAGGCAACAAGCCACCACAAAAATGAAATAGTACTTCATTGTTCCGTATTAATGAAATGTAATTTGATATCAGATGTCAGCTCACTTTTATATCCATTGCGCTTAACGATAAGAATTCTCATCAAAACACATTATTTTCCACTGTGTATGGAATTCCATTGAAAAATATTTGTATTATAATTATTATGTCAATTATTATCAAGAGTTTAAAGAAAAGTATTTTATCTGCCAACTGTTTATACGTATTCATCTCGTATTTTGAGCAATTTTAACACGATTATTCAATAGATTCCTTTGTTGTTTTTACCTCAGAGTAGCATATGTAACATTTTGCAACAAAGAATAAAAAAAAATACATAATTTTTTCGCATTAAACGCTTCGGAAGAGGTCCAGTGAATATTTTATTTAGGAAATTTTGATATTAACTCCTAGTGTTCTTAACATTTTATAAAACCCTTCTTTCGAATATTCGACAAGAGCAACAATCATGACTGAGAGATTTCATATTGTAAAAACGCCATCTGGTGACGTGTGCGAATTGTGGTTGAAAACAACCGATATGAAAATTTAGTCAAGACACCATCCAACAATTCCGTCTTTGTAACTACATACATTGATAACCACGTCAACAGATGGCGCATTATTGTGCGATGTTTTTCTCGCCTATATTAATATACAGGGACTCATGGTGGTTGGACAAGAGTTGACCTGCTTTAAATGACGATGCCTATGGTCTTTTTCTTAATGACATGATTTTTTGCAGAGCATGAATGTGTCACTCACGTAGAGCGTGCTTGCTGGGAGCCGCTCCTAGCTATGAATGTGTTAGTGTGACTAACGTTGTTTGTATTAGTGTGTGCTGTATACCAATACGAACTCAGGAGCGGCTCCTGACAAGTACACCACGCTCTTCGCTAAACAAGTGCGATTTCATACTCTGATTTTTTGTCGCATCTGCTTCAACCATCAAGATGCTTTTATTAATATTCAGTCCCCTCATTTGACGACATTTAATGAGAAAAAAAATGTGCGGTGAAATAATTGAAATTTTAATAAGTTTTTTTAAATTTCGTATTCCATTGTAATTGGATTAGAACACGTCATTATTGAAACGGTTTTCGAAAATTGCTGTCTTATATTAAAATTTACAATCTTGCATGACAATTTACACCTCTTCACAATTTCTTCAAGAAAGAAAAAAACTTGGCCTTTTACATTTCAAATTGATCTATATTTCACGTATATATTCCATAAAGACCACAAATGTAAATGAATATGGTTTTGTGTCCACATTTCTTCACTATTTCTTTAGTCCAATTCTTGACATAAAACCTTTCTTCTTTCTTTCTTCTTCTTCTTTTCTCTTTTGCAGTGGGTGCGATCTAAAAGATTAATTGTAATCAATTGTTGTGCCATAAATCATTGATATGTTAGTTTTGGCCTTACATCCAACATTTTTTCTTTGACTGTATTACTACATCTTCTCGCGATCTTAAATGCGAATTAAAATTGGTTGAAAATATCTATCGATGTAACTCAATCATCTTGCTTTAATACTCACGTCGATATGTTTGAGTTTGTCTTATCTTTCAGTGGAGATCTTGATGATATTGTCGGTTTTACTGTACTTCCCTTACCTGCAGTTGGTTTACTTGGTGTTTCTTTCTTCGCAGCTGGCTTACTCGGTGTTACTTTACTAGCAGCCAGTTTACTTGGTGTTACTTTACTTGCAGTTGATTTACTCGTTGTTCCACTTCCTGTAGGCTTTGTTTTTGGTTCTTTTTTTGGAAGGAGATTGGTCACACTAATTGAATAAATTCATATTAAATTGAATTGATTAAAGGGAAACTTATCTGATACTATATTGATTTTACATATTTGGTAACGTTTTAACAGCTTGGTTCATTAGGCCTTTTACCATGGGATTATTTCCACCGTACTTTTCTATAGCTCCTTCACCACTATTTGAATAAAAAGTTCATTATTTCCACTCTCACATTACAAATGATATTCCAATTATACATGTAAAAATTGTTCTACGCACTATTTTTTTATTACTTCATCTGTCTTTCCATTCTTAATAGCCTGTCCCACTTGAATTGCCTCCACAATTTGGTTTCCGTTTGGTATATATTTTGTGATAGCGTCTTTGCCCCTAAAAATGTTTGAAGTATTTTGGTATTTGGATTAATTGGAAGTGAAGAAGAATTATGTGCATATGCCACACAACATACAAATCATCCAAAATCTTTTCAGGTGGATCTCCTTTGCGAACGGCATCTGCGACCTGAATTGCTGTAAACACTTCTTCTCCATTTGGAACATATTTTTTAAATTTCTCGGTGCCACTATAGGTGATTAGATGTTTCATTTGAAATGGTTAAAAATGCCACCAATTTAAATAAATATACACAACTCACACGTCCTTAATAACTTCCGATACGTCTTTTCCATTTTTAATATCATTTGCTACCTGAGCTGCCGTTAAAATTGCCTCGCCTTGTGGAACATACGCTTCGAAAGCTTCTTTGCCTCTGAAGAAAGTGTGATATGAGACAATATAATTTTAAACACTAGAAACATTTATGAAATATAAACAACATACAGATCTTTTGCAATATCCAGAGCTGACTCATTTTTAGTCATAAATCTGTTTGCGCAGTTTAAACCCTTCGAAACAAGAGCCGCTTTTTCTTTTCCCATTTGAGCCTCTGGTATTTTTGTTGTTGTATTATAACAAATAAACTATGTAAAAACAACTGTGTGTTCCACTTTTATAGACGTAGAAGTCGGATTTTTATTCTTACCCAAAGCCTTTTGTCCTCTAAAGATTCATTATTCACATTTAAAATCATTTTTATTTATTTAAATCATTTACGTACAGTTTCATAGCGGATTCAGACACAGTTTTTCCCTCATAAATGTCCTGTATGAATTCCATGCCTCCCGTGGCCAAACCCACAACAGGGGATAAGCTAAATTATTCAAATAAAAATATTAGAAATTCAAATGGAAAAAGTTTAATTTAAGACACATCACTTACCTATTCAAACCCGATTTAGCACCAGCTACTGCTGCTGAGGAAAAGCTTCCATTCGGCTGCGAATATGCGCCATATGCATCCTTAGCACTTTAAAATAGATAATAATTTCAAAATAAAACTTCAATTTAAGTATTTTTTTTTCAATTATTTATTCATTTACGCATTAAGTGCAGCCCCAGAGCCCTAAAAGTATAACAAAAATGAAGAACAATTTGATCAATACAATGTCAAAAATTTATTAAAACTAACCGGAAAAGCAACATTCGCGCCATAAGTAATAAGTTGGTTTGTGACACTTGTTGGAATATAGGAAACTACATTGCTTAAGTCCGGTAACGCCACACAATTGTTCAATACAGAACAACAAAGTATTGCCAAGATCAAATGAAACTTCATTATTCCGGCCGTTTCGTAAATGAAATAAAATGAAACGTTAGACGTTCTTTTATAGCAGTTTTTAATTTATTTTTACAAGAACAGAACTCTTTTTTGCAAATTTATGTCGAAATTGAAATTTGAATCTTATCAATATTTATAAGTTCAAATCGCCATTATTAATACAAAAGAATCATTTCGGATGAATTTTTTTTGAAATGAATGCTCAGTCTTCAGAATTCTCGGTGACAACATATTTGCTGAAAAATGACGATTCAATTGTTTAGCAAAATGATATTACAATGGTATCATATTATCAATAGCTCCAACTGCAATACATGTGCAATATCAAAGTTCGTCTAAATTACACCAAGAAATTAAAACTCCTTTACATCATGTGTTCATTTAAATTACATAGGCAACAACAAAAGACGTTTATTGGAACAAGATACGTGCGTCTGTTATAATCCACAATAACCTGTATAATATTCAAATTTATTCGCGTCCTTTGACTCATAGAAATAGAAGATGACGTTCACTTCTTTTTAGATTTAAATCATTTAAATACATCGGGTATGATTTTAGTAAAAAAAGTTAGAAAGTAGAGTATTTTTATTTTTAGCTTCTTTATATAATCGATTGATATAAATCATATACTAGATGTTTAGATTTTTTAATTGTTGAAGCGATTCCATCGGAAATAAAGTCGCGATAATAGATCTAAGATTATCTTGTAAAGTTACTAAATACATTACACTTAGAAGAAACCTTAACTTTGGGAACGTGTTATTTTCACACCCGTAAGTTGATACACTTGATAATTTCATGCTAAATTTCACGTTGCATGTACAGGCATAAATAATGTTCCAAACATCCCATCAACTGGTTAATCTTCCAAAATTGGGTTCCACTTTAGACAAACCACGGCCCAGCCAGTTTGAAACCTTTGAGCTGAAAACAAAGCATTTGATTTATTTTCGATTAGATAAAACATTTTTAGATTCTATACCGTAAGCTTGATCTCTTTTCATTGCCATCATTAGATATGCCAGTCACCATATTCTCAATATGAGTTAATCCATTTTCCATTGTCCTTTTATAACGTTGGGCTCTTTTCACCCTAATTTTGTAAAATCACACAAATTCTTAAATATATTGTGACACTTTTGATTGCACTGTTTAAGGTCTTGTTTGTAAAGAATTCAAGATGAATAAAATGAATAAATTATTTTGACTTTACTTTTTTCTGGCATCAAGAAATGACTTAAGAGACGATGGAACAAGAGAGCTGTTCATTGCACGGTCTATAAATTTTTCTTCTAAATCTTTTGGTTCCAGCTCATCAAATCTCTCCATTACACCAGCTAATACTGGTTTGTGATCGATGGTCAGGTGCATAACACAATAAAAACAAATATATAGTATAAATAAGTAAATTTTCATTTTCTTTCCAATGCATGGAACCGTTATATTCCACGTCAATTTTGTAATTATTTTGTTCTTCCCTTTATCAGCTATCACATATTTAAACGCAAACGCGATTACGTCAGTACGCTTCTGTCGATTAGTAAAGCGAAAACAGACAAACATTTGCGGTTTATTATTAACCCATTTTCGTCAACCGGACCAACATTTTTTCGTCTTCTTCAGAATTTAAAAAAATCGTTTTGTGATGCATAGTTTTTGTGGTTTTGAAAATATGACTCTTTTGAGAAATTATTTTGAGTAAAATATCGCTGAAATATCATTGTTTATCCTGTCAAGTTGAATATATTTCAAAAGTATAAAATATATTTAAAAAAATCTGTAAAATGTGAGAAAAAAATCAAAACAATCTTAGAAGTGAATTGCATATAATTAACATTTATTTTTATTTACATAGTAATATGTATGGATGTTTTTGTTAAAATTTCTTATTTACACATTGTAATGTATAATAAGTCATGATCGTATATCCATACGCGATTTGAACAAAAGTTTCAATGCCAAATTTCTAATGTTTTTTTTTGTTTCAGATTTAATGTAATATTATTTTTTGCATTTTTGTACGGAATTTATTCCAGATGAGACCATTGAATGATTGTAACCCACCTGAACAATATTTATTGAACTTGTTTCTGGGGCCAAATTGAATTCGAACACATTTTGTGGTTTTTATTTTGGTTGAATACACTATTTTACAGCATATTTGGAACATCTGTAATTCCCATGTAATGGTCTATCATATTATTTGCATTGACTTCAAACTATAGCAAAAGAAGCAAATTGAAATGTTTATATGTTTTTTCGTTGTTTTAAGTTGCTGCTTCGGATTTGTCATCAAAGTAAAATCCTAATAATTAGAAAAAAAGCTAAAACAAATGTGTTTTGTAACGATGTAAATGAATGTGTGCCGAAAATGAATGGCAAACGGAATGAAATAAAAACCAAACAAAGCGTCTATTCATTTCAATTTATTTGTATGTGTATTAATTCTTTTTTTTTTCAATATCATCATCGAATTTTTGCTCAATCAAAATCTTAATCAATCTTCGCATATTTCTTGTCTAACCGTTTTGTTTACACATTAACATTCATCATTTTTTTTAATTTTTTTTTTCAATATATTTTTTATTATTATTTTCATTCTTTTTAATTACATAATCATTTTTTACTCATTTTTTTGTGTTGGTTTTCAAACTAATTTTACTTGTTGTCGTTTTTTCTACAATTTTTTTTTATTTCAAGGCATTCTCGTCAGACTTCCTAGTACAGATTATATATTTTTTTCTCCATTTGTTTTAATTAAAAATTAGTTCAATGGTTTGTTGTTGTTAATCAATCCATCTTAATTTTATTTTGAAATTAATATTACTTATGTGTGTGTGTGAATCAGTGGCTGTGAATGTATATGAGAGGGACACCGTTTCATCGATGTGAGCGTGTGTACGTTCTCTGTGTGTATTTATATATGTATGTATGTATGCGTGGTTTCAAACACCGTTATTTAACTGATTCTTCTCTGTGTGTGTGAAAGGTACGTTTTCTACTCGTTTAATCAAGTGCACAATTTTATATGATGTTTCTGGTTCATATTTTTCTCCATATTTTTTGCTCCCCATTAATGCAATCATTTTTTTTCAAAAACAATAAATCTCTCTTGCGCTTGATGTAAACGTAGAACCGTAAAGATTTTGTTTTATTGGACAAAAAATGCAAGCAAGATGTTTCAATTTCTCCACTTTTTAACTTCTTCTCTCAACCAGTTTACCATTTTTTTCCAAAGTTTCTTTTTATTTCACATTAAAAGTTTATCATTAAAACTATTTGATTTTTGTATTTACTTGCAAGTATCATTTTTTTCATTTTCAAGTTTCTTTTAGTTTCGATTGATTGACATCGATTTTCTGTTAAAGGTAACTATATATTTGTTTAATTTTCCATTTCTCTGTCTACTATTATAATAATGAAACAAAGAGCAAGAGTGTGGTGTATGTGAGCAACAGAATAAAAAAAAGTGACAGATCTTATGTGTGAGAGAAAAACCATCGCGGTTTTCTCAATGCGAATGCTTGTTAGGCAGTTAGTTTGAAAGTCGAAAATTGTGATTAAAAATTAGTGTATGAAAAACAGGGAGCTTGAATCCAAGATCGATTGACAATCAATCAATATATTGAGTTTCAAGACAAGTCTTTAGGGTATTTTTTTACGAATAAACTACAAAAAAACAAACAAAACCAACATTTAAAGAGAAAAAAAACATGTGTATCTTATAAACGATAACAAAGTCAAGTGAAATGATAAGTTAAACTAAAATGCAAAAATACAGTCTGAATAAAGCATGATAAAACCAGGTGTGCACAATGAATGGACATCGAAATAGGTCCGATTTAATAAAAAAAATGAAAAATCAAAATGCGAATGACCAACATTTCGCTATTGACTGAAGGAATGGGAATTTGGTGTAAAGAGGCTTAATGAAAGTGGAATTTCCAAAGCATATAGAAAAAAATAGTGGTAGTTAAAATGCACAAACGTGAACAAAACGTTTCATTTCATTGAGCCTAGAAATAAAATAACTGCGGTATTTTACTTCGCACTTGTTCTAATGTGGTCTTTGTTCGATTTTCTATTTATAAATATAACAGTGAAAGAGTTTGTTAGTATACTTTCAGTATTTCAAAACAGACGATGTCTCAAGCCAACTGCCCAGCTGTTGCTATTGATGGCGGCTGTTCACCAGCATGCGTCTTCGACTACTGCATTGAACACAGCGGCAATATAACATATTGCGCCTACGATATACAATGGGTAAGGAACATTGTATCACAATATATCGCAACTGCTTTCAATGCACCAGTCGAATACGCATGTTAGTGAACAGAAGTCATCTATAGCTGATGTTGCCATCAATCTGTTTTAAAATTGTTAAACCAAAACAATATTGTTGCTGACTTGAAATATGTTTCTTCATAGATTTGTTCATCCATTCTTTACAAATGCGTTTTAATTATATCGGTAGTTTAGTAGCAGCTTTTAATGGAACCATAGCTATTCATGTTTTATTTAATGTTTTATAAGTAATAAGTCCATAGCTCTTATCAACTGTTTTGTTTGTTTTTGCTTAACATAAAGTGAATCTTTGCATTACATATTACATTTTCTCTAGATAATTCGCTTTATTTTACATATCATCCATAGACTTCTTTTTTTTTGTCAACGTGAAATAGAATTAAATCTGTGAGCTTATTTGCTTTTGTGTATGTGTGTGTGAGGAGGATCAGTGAACTGTTTTTTTTGTTGTTGTTGTTAGTGATCATAAAGATAGATAAATAGATAGAGAGAAAAGGTTTTTTTCCATTTGCTGTTTTTTTATATAAAGAATGAAAATGAACGACAAATATCGCCTTAAAAATACATTCATAGTTCAATAGTAATTACAATAGTTTTTTTATATCTTCTTTTAAATTAAAACGAGAAATTATAACGCAGTTTATTACAATGTTTTTTTTTCTTTTCAATTTATCTAAAAAATAAAAATGCTTGACGATGCAACCAAGCGATACGACTCGATTGACACGTCATTGTGTGTGTGTATGTGGGTGTGTGGGTGTATATGTGTTTGTATATTCTGCAAACATTTGCAAATTCAATATTAATTTAGTAAATTTAAATGTTATTATTCATATATCTCAACGTTCATCATGTGTGTGTATTTTTGTTGTTGTAAATCTAACGCATTTCCAATTCATCTATAAGATTAATGTTAGTCATTTTCATTTACTTTATTTTTCTCTCTTCATTTATTTACGCGACAATACATAACTATAGATTAATATGCAAAGTGTAAATATAGTCATTTTATAATATAATTCATATAATATATATGTATTTGTATGCTCTGGTAATCCTGTTTCCAATTGTTTCATATATTTTATTTGTTTTTTATCCCTTTCTTCGTCTTCTTCTTTATCAATTTTCTACATGCGTTTTGTGTATGTGTGTATCTGTGTGTGTGTGTGAATTTTATTTTAAATTAATACGATTTACGTTTAAAAATGATTTTAAATTTTATAGGTACATCTCGCGTTCATCGTTATTATCATTATTATATTCGTATAGTTTTCTTTTCCATTATAACAATTCAAATTGTTTTCATTTCGAAAGCAAATTCGATAGGATTTCTTCTTTTCTTTCTTCATTCATTCAGTATTATTTAATTTCTTTACAATTTAATTTTTGTTGTTATTGTTGTTGTTTTTTTTTTTTTTTAATGTGAGATGAGAACAAATCGATCATTGTACTGCCGGTGTGGATGTGTAAATATGTGAAAAAAAACTCAAGCATTTTTCGATGCGCGGCTAACATCTATATAATCGATTTTACATTCATAAGGTTTTGTGTCGGTTGATGTTTTGAACTGGTTTCACTGTTCGTTGAATACCACCGCTTTACCTTACGCTAGCCGAATTCAGCACAAATGGTACGTAAAACATTTTACTTTCAAGCAGTAAACTTGCAGCTGCTTGAATCTAAAAGAAGAAAATGACAGAGAATGTTTATGTAAATTGTGCAATTTTAAGCTGTTATTTGTTGGAGCACAATTATAAAAAGTGTACATACCTCAGGTATATGAGCTAACAATTCACCAAGTCGACCCGGATTATTTGGTGATGTGTGCTGCAAATAACTTCGCAATACTTGTATATATCGCTCCTGAATTCCTTCAAGTTCAACTTCTGTAAATATCAATCGAATTCAAATAAAATTGCACATTTAATGAATGAAAAATGGATTATTGTTGATTTTTTTACCTTTGTTTAGTAGAATATACACTTTAAGACAGACATATTCCTCCATTTTGAGCTTGATGCGTCTGAACATGATTGTGATTTGTGTCATCTTTTCAACCATGTGTCCGACATCCAGTCTTAATTGCTCCATTGAGATGGGATGACCCATTAGCGTAGTCAAGCATGTTTGTAGTGTTAACAAATGCGTGTTCACCTATGCAATCAATTGGTAGACGGTCATTTTATTGAGTTTTTTTTTTCGTAATTTTATGAAAAATTTACCTCGTGAACATATTCAGGATCGTCTTTTTCCAAAAACGGCGTTTGACTTTGATGCTGTGCACTTTGAATGATTTGAGCCGTTGATTTTTTGCCATGTAGTGCTTGATAAGCGGCTGTTGTTAATACTAAAATTTCATGCCATTTATCGGTCAATAATTTGGTATGAATTTCCACTGGTATTTCCAAATAAAATGGTAACTTTTTCGTCCACGATACCAACTTATGAACTATTGAATCACCGATGTTACATAATTTATCACCAATTTCCGATTTATCTTCCAGAAATTCTGGAAAATGTGGCAGTGTTGCAATGTCTTCCATTGCATCGAAATCAATTAATGTTTGAATCATGCTCATCGCATGCTCATACGAAACAGAACGATCTTTTGATGAACTGACCGCATTATCGAGACGATGTCGCAAATGTACAATTTCACTTGGATTGGTTAGAGCCGTTTTTAGAATGGTGCCATTCAACAAATGCGATGGGATGTTATTGACAATATTCTCCGTTTTTAAATTGTTTATCCGTTGCGATGCAAGCAACGAATTTGTATCACCGCAAATCATGCTGAGCTTTTGTTGTTGCTGCTGATGCTGCTGCTGCTGCTGCTGCTGTTGTTGTTGTTGTTGTTGTTGTTGTTGATGCTGTTGTGATTGTAGGTGTTGTGCTTGTTGTTGCAACGTTGCGGCTGTATGATTCACTTTCTGTCCAGACTTCTTGTGTTTTTTATATTTCACTTTATACAAATTGTATACGGCACCGCTGTTTCGCCCACCAGGCATACGATCTTCTCGCACCGCTGAAATTTACAAAATACACAATTTTTAGTTCAACGCAATACATGTATAAAACACAAGAAATGAATAAAATTGCTTACCTTGTAAGACCATGCCCTGTTCAATGCACTTTTTAAATCGACAATACTGACATCGATTTCGTTGCGCTTTTGTTATTTCGCATGTACCATCGGCAACGCATGTGTAGACTCGTCTATTTTGTACTGTTCGTTTGAAGAATCCTTTGCAACTGTCATTTTGAAAGAAAGTTTGAGTTAGTTCACGGTGCTGTTTCAAACCGGCTTGCACGGCAACACTTACCCTTCACACGTTATAATTCCATAGTGTAAACCAGTTGCTTTATCCTCACAAATCATACAAACTAACGGTTGTTCGTCGTCTTCTGGTGGCACTTCTTGTTCATTCTGTAATTGTATAAAAACCATCCAATAATCGTCTCGATTGTTCATAATTCGATGTAAATATATGTAAATTACCTTCATCGGTTGTGATGGATTCGACCATTGTTGTTGAGAGCTTAAATTCAAGGCTTGTATTTGTTGTCCACTGGGTAATTGACTGTAATCGCCTGCCCATAGGCGTTCCATATTTAGTGGATTTTGTGAACGAATTGTTTGCTGCTGTTGCATCGATCGCATTTCATTTGTTCGATTTTGTCCAAGACTCAGCAACAATTGGGCCGCTTCTTCGTTATTCGATGGTCCAGCCAATTGTATCTGATTATGATTTTGTAGATTAATTGAATTGGATTGTGATGTTTGTTGATGTGGTGGCTGTTGTTGTTGTGGTCCGGTTTCAATGCCCCATACCATAGTACGAACACCACAACTTTCACCCATTATAACGGTTGGTGTGTTGCGTGGCTGTGATGCATTCGGATTTGTCGTTGACACCGATGTATGGCCAGAATTTGAAACAGGCGATCGTAATGGTATTGGTCCACCGATAATTTCCGGTTTAACGCCATTTATGCGTGTATTTGAATTCCACATGATGCGATTTTGATTGTTTGTTTGAATCAAACACGGTAATTGAGCATCATTTTTAACCCGGAATAAAATGGCACCATCACGTCCGGGATGCTGTAATTGAATCGATGGATGCAACATTTGACCGGTTGATGTGACTGGTGTAACGGTTGTGATCGATTGATTCGGCGCCTGTGAATGCTGAACTGATGACATTGGTAACGATTGTGTTTGTGGATTGATTGACAGATTTGGAGATCGTTCACGTTTGATACGATTTGGATTTGGATTTGTGATGGCCGCATGCAAATTCACCGGGAATATGTAATTTTTCATCGGCGGCATTTGATGTTTGTTTACATCTTGATTATTTTGTATTTGCGGTGAAAAGGAATTTTTCGAGGCCGACATTTGAAGACCAGCCCGTGATGATGGTGGTTGATGTTGTTGTTGTTGTTGTTGTTGTTGTTGTTGCGTTGTTGTTTGAACAATTTGTACCTTTTGCGGTGATAATGGATTTAGTTTGGAATTTGTATCCGTGTCAATTCGTTGCAATGTGGTTGATTTTGTGTGATTTAAATTCGTCGTCGTATTTCCGTTACCATGGCCATTGCCATTGTTGCAATTGCTTAGGCTGTTACTCAAATTGTTATTGGTCTCAATTGTAACAACGGTTGGTACGGTATTATTTGTATTATGTTGCATCGATGGCATACCTTTTCGATAGTCTGACATCGATGTAATGGCAGTCGTTACTGAAGTTGAATGGTTGTTTGCATTTATGCAATTGTTTTGATGCGAATTTGCTTCAGTTTTAATCCGCAACGGGGTAACTAATACGGTGGCATGCGGTGACATAATTCGTTGAGACGGTGCATTAAACGAATTGATTGTAGATTTTGTGGTTTGCGGTTGAAATGCTTGTTTTGTTGGCGATGGCAAACGCTCTTCTCCCACCAATCGAATCACACTTGTGTTAGGCATCGAATCATTGTTATTGTTGCCGTTATTATTGTTGTTATCGTTAATATTTTCATTGGGCGCGATATGGTCACGGCGGTCATTTCCACTGTGATTACTTAAAAATACACTATTATTATTGGTACTGTTGATCAGCTTGATGCTTTTATTCAAATTCATATTTGCATTCGCTGCAGCGGCCACTGTATTCACAATCGCATTCTGCTTTTCGGCAATGGACATTTGAATGGCTTGCGTTGATCCGCCGGTTGACACGTTTTTATCATCGATTTTTGTTGCGGTAACGGTTATACTACTTTGTGGTGATGCTTGCATAAATGTATCCGAACGCACATCAGTCGCTAATGAAAAAAATAAAATAAAAGAAAAAAACATTTTTTTTTGAGTAAACACAATCAATGGAGTCATTTTCTTTTTCAAATGTTTTTCTTCTTTCTTTTTCAAAGCCAACAATTTGAGCTGACTGCAAATATTTGAAGAGTGGAACATTTCCCGAAAATACTTTTTCCTGAAAGATCGTTTTTTTTTTTCTTAGAAAAATTTCCGAATTCGGAAAATGTTCCGGTATTCCAAATATTCTCATATTTGCTGCTATCTTAACAGTTACTTTAGAGTTAAATATCAAATATATTTGACAAGTCGGTGAAATCTGTTTAAAATGATAATGCAACCAACCCGTACTGTCTGTTGATGTGCTATTGTAGTCGTTATCCAGTGCTGCTGGTGACACAGAGTTGCGATTTTTCTCGTGTGATTGTTGGCTGTGCAGTTGTTGAGATGAAACAGATCCACCATGATCGCACATTTTTGGTGAAAGTGGTACTATTAAATCGGGCGAAGAAGCATTCGTATCGGCTAATGATTCACCATCACTGCTGCATCGAGAATCAACTTTTCTTCGTTTCAATTTCAGATCCTGAAATAGGCTCATTTTATCGAGCTCGCTATACGGGCTTCGGCTTAGTGTCATAATTCCTGATTTCCGTTCAAAAAAAGATAGAAAAAAGCACATAGAACAAATTCTATTAGCATTGCGCATATACAATTCAATATTAGCTAACTGTAATTGGATTGACATTATTTTTATTTCTTCAAAGATTTAGTCAAAGCATAAGAAAATTCCAGTTGTTTCTAATTTTAAAATGGCGTATGGTAAATGATATTATTGGCATCTATTTTACTGGCTATGCAAAATCGAACGTTAACATGAGCAATAACCATTCAATTTGAACGTTTGTGTCAACGCGATGATGAGTCGAAGTTTGAGTATGAGTTAAATATTTGAAATGCAAACGAGTGGAAAACAATTCACTATTGAGCTGTTTTATTGAGTTCGAACTCAATGTTGCGCAGGTTCGTCGTTTATTATTTTCTTTTATTAGGAGGATAGTATGTAATAGAAAATTGCTGCTTTATTATCCATATTTCTCCGTTACAGAACCACAGTGATATTTGTGTTGAAATCAAGTTTTTTATTCATACATGAAGCGGGTATTTTACGCAATTGAGCAAGTGCAGCATGCATTACTGCTGCTGCTGTTGCTGTTGATTATTATGTTATATGTTTCAATGCGATTGCATAACTTACGGGAAAAGTGGAAAATTGTCTATACACTGATGTATCGCAGCAACAACTAGTGCGTGCAATATAGAAATTGCATACGAACTTTCATGCCGTTATTACATTAATATTGTGGCGTTTATAATGGCGTAGAGCATTGAAATGGACTTATGACAATATCTGTAATTCTTTGGCGCTACAATTCGATTTTCGTTACTTCTTTCGTTTCTGGTTTTCGAATGCAAAAACACACGCACATATATCAACATAACTGCAATGGATAAAGAATTAAAGTGGAATGCATCGTAAGCTTTTTGTACTTCAATTTATCATTTTAATTTGAATGCTTGCATGCGTACACAAAGCCAGGGTAAGTTATCGGTTTTTGCATTTACTTTCGTCGACTTATCTATTCGGTGCCGTACGAATCGTGCACGCATCTACACTCGTATAAGAATTAACGCTGTAAGTAGCAACGACAATGACGAACAAAAACGTGTGATTCCCGTCGCCAAACGAAATGTATGTCATACTTAAATATCTCTTTTCGTCATTTTGATCGTTCTTTAGTTCTACGTCACTTTTGTCGCCTATATTCAAATGTGTGTGTTTGCGTTTTTTTCTTCTTCTTTTTCTCATTTTCTATTGTATTTATTATTATTACTGCGTACATTTTTCCATTCGGTTGTGTTCACTATTTAATTGCATTCGCAAATATGTGTCACGAGTTAGCGCATATAAAATCCTCTTTTGGATGCATTTCGTGTGCCGTATTGGAGCGTATATTATGCAGTTAATATAATCGCAAAGCTTTTGCGTATGACAAACAAAAAATAAGGGGCAACGGATATCATACACAAATGGCGTTCTAAATTTAATCGCTGATTTCTTTTGAACTTCGACAATGACTAAACGTTTCCTTTTCTTCCTCTAATTTTTTTTTGCTCTTCTTCTTCGTCGTCGTTGTTCCACAATTTCATCAGAAATGGGTCTGAGATCGGTTTATATATCAAAAGAGGCATGCAAAATTATAAGATTTGATCGCCAGTAAAAATGACGCTCTCTTTTTCACTTTAAATGTGTGAACAGATTTGATTGATGTCGAAAGTGTGTTTATATTTTTCATTTGTTTTGTGTATAACATAAGATTTATGTTTAGAGAGAAATTAGAATAGAAGAAGAGTTCGAAAAATAAATTAATATGGGAAATATGGTGTTTATTTTTGTTTGGAATTGTTTCGTTTGGTGATGTTTCAGTTTTAATTAAATAAAAAAAGCTTGTGAACGTATCATTTGATAATCGATTCTGGCCACTTTAGATAGATTTTAAGCAGTTTTTCGAATAATTTTTTTCAGTCATTTTCGATCATTTTTGAAGATTTTTTTTTTTTTGAATTTTGGAAACACATATTTTGACAATCAAAATGAGAGTATAAAACGTTCAATATGATTCACAAACTCTTTTCATTAATTAAAAGGGGAAATAAAATGAAAAAGAAAAAGAAAATTATGTGTTGCAATTAAAACTTACATGATCTATTTTATATATATTTTTTACATTGATTTTTTGTGTGGTTTTTTTTATTGATTTATTTGGTCATTAATTTATGGTTCATTGTTTGTTTTATTTTCCAAGAAGAGATGAAACGATGAAATCCAACAAAATGAGAAACGAAAAACAATACACCAACGGAACCAAAAAAAGTAAACAACAACAAAATTTTTAAATAAACTGAAATGTATGACAGCTTCCAGAGTTTATTTTTCATGAATTAATCGCTATAATTGAATGTGTTTTTATTCTGATTGTATTTCAAAAAAAAAACAAGTTTCGTGTATCTTTGTATGTGTGTGTGTGTGAGAAAGGGGAAGAGGGAAAAATTTTGAGTTGAAATATCGTTCGAAAAAAATGCTCGCGATTATCGAATTTTGAATTTCTCTTTTTCTTGTGTCGATCATATGGTGAATTCAATGAATGATTTCGAATCTGATTTTTTTTTTGCGAGTGTCCAAAATTAAATAGCCAAAATAATGTGCCAATTCATCATCAAGAAATCAATTTTTTGGTGAAATGGAAATTTTCTTTTTAGTTAATTCATTGTCAATGACCCTTTTGATGAATTAAAACAAAAATAAAATTGAGTCATTCCAATAAATTAACAGCAATTTATGTGGTGTGTTTCGAGAATGCATTTAAACAAAATTGTGTGATGGTGTGATTTAAATTTTCTTTTTGAAAAAAAAAAATGAATTTTTAGTTTTGCAAATTTGTTTTTGTTTTTTTTTTACAAAAAAATTTTGTTGGTGTTACCTAGCGATGTCATTTTTACTTTATATACGAATCGAAATGGTCTCGTTCTATTGAAGCTTTTAGTTCTTTTTTTTTAATTTTTCAAATTTAATTTTCGCAACGGAAAAATCTAATCCAAAATTTTGATGACCAGGTTCGTGTGTTTTGGATTTCACAATTTATTTATTTAATTTTTTGTTTATAAAGCCTATCGTTTAATTTTTTTTTGTTCTTCAATTTTTTTTCTTTTACAATCCGAAATCCTCGACCAAAACGAAAGAGAATAAATAAATAATTCTGTAATTTTATTTTGAGTTTTTTTATGTCTCAATGTCTTGTTTGTTTTTGATGTCGTCGTTTTTTTTTTGTTGCACTTGTTTTCAATTTTTATAATGTTCACATTGTTTCGTTACTGGGTTTAATTGGTTGTGTCTAAGTAACTTTGTTACAAGATCAATCATGAAATCACTGGATATGGGTCAGTTTTTTTTCTTTGGGGTAATCACATAGGTCCTTCTATTTTTCTTTCTCTCTTTAAAAAAAATCACAAATTTCCGTTCATGTTTCCGGAATAAAGTCAAGTAATTTAATTTGATTTGAATTCATTTTAATTTTTGTTTATCGTCGGAATACCGATTGTCTTTATCTCACATGTGCCTTTGCTGTCAATCACTTTTTCTACAAAATATCAACACAAAATCGCCGAATTTGCGATTAACTTATCAAACTTAGTGTTTCATGTTTGTTGAATGCGTCTGTTTCAAGCATTTCCGTTGGCATTTGCGTTCACACGGAACTTATAAATTAATCCAATAGTTAAATGTCGGTAACGATGTGTACAATTTCTTTCCGCACATTATATTTCCATCATGCTGCAAATGCAATCACCAGAACAAAAATTGTTTATATTCAATAGTTATGGTAAAATCCTCAACAACAAAAAATGCATAAATCAGCTACAAATTGTTTATTATTATTTTTTTTTAATCCAATAGACAGTTCAAATCAAGCGAAACGAAAAGCACGCTTTACAGTGAGAGAGAAAAAAAAGTATACACCACGATCAAGAGTCAAGCACATAAAATATTTGGACAAAACACAGCCGAACAACAAACTACGTGCGAACTCTAAATCAAGTTGCACTTTAACAAAACCAGAAACAAGAAACACACTCAACACTCGGCTCACAAGCTCTCTTGTTGTCGTTGTCGTCGGTGCCTGTTCGCTGTGTCTATGCTTCTCTTTTGCGCTGTCGCAATTTGCAATCGGGTACGATTGTCTGTGTGCATGTGTATGCGTGCGTGTCTATATGTGTGTGTTTGTGTCGATGTGAGCATATATATCTACTGTACGAACATTGTTACTTTTGTGAAAAACTTTCACTTCTGATCATGAACTGAGCGCAGCACAACATGAGTCTTTACTTCACTCTCGCTAAACATACGCGCGCCACTCGTCAATTTTCTTTGGTCTGTCTTTTTTGTGCTTTCTTCAGCTTCCACTGTCTCTCTTACTTTCGTTCAGATCGATACCGCCGAATGATGATTATGATCAATTCAAATGTAATTACTTCACAGTGACTTTCGCTGAGTTTTCTTCTTCCGATTCTATTTTTCAATGTTTTTCTTTCAGTTTAAATGCACTTTAATGACTTTTTCCCCGGTGGCCGAAGAATGATTTTCCGTTATTTTTTTTTTTTAAATGATGATGATCACTTTTTGGTAACTCTGTTTTTATAAATATTTGTTGAAAACTTTGATCGATCTTGTTTTCGGGTTTTTTTCTCTTAAACTTTTGTCGATCACATTTTTTCAAATATATTATATTCTTCGAATGTCTTCACAAATATGTGATGATTTTTTCGCCCAAAAAAAGAAATTAAACATTCTTGTTGATAAAATTGATAAATTTCCGAATCACTTTTTACCAATGATTTAAACGATCAAAACACATGAATATTCACGAAACCGTTAACAGAGTGATAACAGTCATTCGATTGCATGAATTCGAGTTCGCGAACAGTTCAAGTCTTTTTTTTTGTCTTGTGAGGGGAAAAATTTACCGATGAAAATCGTGCGCGGAAAATTTTCCACCAAATTATTTCAACAGTTTAATTTGCCGTTTATTCGGTATTTCTTTTGAATTTTAAATTTCCTCTCAATGAATCAAAGGAAAAAAATTATTTTTTTTTCTTTTCAAATCGGTATCGAGCATAGTTTACATGTATGCGCGCGACTCGCATCAAAGTAGGTTACTAACTGAACTCCAATTTAAGCAGAGTTTAATCGAATGTACGAAACGAACAAACGAAAAAGCAAACATATCCGCAGATACACCAATACAGTTGTCCGCGTGAACACAAACACTCACATATACAGAGACAGCCAACAAACGGTGGATACATAAAATGTGTACTGAACTTTTATTTGAGTTCTACTATAGCGGCACGGTGTGAAAGAGGGAGAGAATGAGTGAACGGGTCGGTGAGACTACATGCAAATAGCGCGTTGAACATGAGAATTCCGAGACGAGCAAACGACATATATGTATTTATTTATATATGCGGATGGCCAAGAGTAAGCGAAACGCAAACAAACGCATTTGAATGGTTTACGGTGCCGCATATCAAGCATTTATACATTGGCACCACATGCACATATGCTAACATAAACACATTTTCATCTACATAAGCTTCTCATGCTAGATACGTTTTTCCCCGCTGTGCACAAATGCTGATAGGAAAAGCTAAAGCATAGCGAGATAGAGATGGAAGTTCAACATTATGTACATAACAAAATGATCGAAACTACATAAGAAAAGTGGCTTTTTTCTCACTCTCTTCTATCGTTATCCCTTGAAGATGCTGGCGGAGTGTGTAGTTTCCATAAAATATGACCGCTATTGTTATTACTTTTTTTATGATTTTTCTATCGTACATTGCATTAGATCACTTAAGCATAATTCTATATTTGTACAGTGTGTGCGATCTGTTTCGAAATTGTGCGTAAGCTACGGAAATAGATAAATTTGTTGTTATTTTTTTTTCTTTCATAGCAGTGCTTGGAAGAAAAAGAAATAAAACAAGTTCAATGTGATGTTCGCACTACATGAAATTTGCAATTGAAAAAGTCTCTTTTTTCTGTCATTGTTTCTGTCTTCAATTTGAAAAGAAACAATGGCTGGATACAAATTGTAATATGCGTGTGATAACCATACACCTGGTTGTTGGTTGAGAATGTCTGTTGTTTTCATTTTCTTTCATTTTGTTGTTGTTGTTGTTGTCTTTTGTATAAAAGATCAACAGAAGCGAATTTAATATGACTGAATTTCATGGAAACCAATTGATTATGCGGATGGTGATTTTGTAATTACATCAGCCACAATATGATAAAAGACCACACAATTCTGACTCAGAAACTTAATTAATTTTACAGGAGAACGCATACAAATGCGCGTAAAATGTAGAACATTCAAACATTAGATAGACTTGTGTAGTACAACTCAGTGATATGTCTGTCGTACAATTAACTGTAATGATGACACAAACGAAACATTAAGTCAGCTCGTCAAAAAAAAAGCGAAAGAAAGAATGAACTGAAAGTCGTTCATCAAGAGAAAGAAGATTAGATTTCATCTGTTCGTATTTGTTTAGTACTCTCGCATCTTGAAATGATGTACTCTTTCTCTCACTCTCTCTCATTCTGTAAGTCTTGGTGTGTTTCGTTGTTTACAATCATGGGCGTATATTCATGTATGTGCTCTTTTTTTGTTTATTTCATTGCATTTGGGGACGGTGCGATATATTGTACTAATAGAATTGTCGTTAAAAAAATGCTAAGTGCAACGAATGATCGTCATCATCATTGCCTTCATCGCAGTCGCGTTCGTTGATTTGAGAGTTTGTCAAATGCCATTTTTAAAGTGTATGCATGTCTAGTGACCTATTGTTATTCATAGCAGCGTAAAATTTAACGCAGTTGTGCGATGATAAAATTGTTCACTTTCTGTTTTGTTATTTAAACGTGTCTAAATGAAAAGTGAAAATGACTTGTTTTTGTCCTACTTCATTTTAGGAACGAATAAATGGCATAAATGTTCCTACCCCGGGTAAAATCATCGCAATATTTATACAATTGCTATTTTCAGTTATGCACAAATGGACCATTTATTGTTGTCGGACGTCAAAAAATAGATTCGATGAACCACCAAATATGGCCATGCATATGGAATAGAGACGACTTGGAACATATGCTTGTTGGCAATTAATAAACATGCATTACGTGTGCACATATTCTAATAAAATGTTACTTAATGTGTGTCGTTCTGCAATAAAATCGACTGATATTCAAGAGGGACAAGGCGACAGAGAGAGAAACGACTTGCAATGCAGTACCGAGCCGAGTTTTTCTTTTCGTTCAACTTTGTTTTTGTTTTTGCTCGTTGCAGTGACAGTTAGAATGTGTTGGTGTTCTCTTCAACTTGCCCTCTCTAGGCCCGTGCATAATGCAACTTGAATTCATCATTGACTCTGGCATTTAATTGCAATTGCAAAATGATTGTGTAGCTGTTCTTATATATATATGCATGCTTCATGTGTCGCTTTTGAGTATGCAATTCTGGTTTTTATTGCAAACGATTTTTTTTTATATAATAGATACGTTTAACAGCGACGACGGCTACGACGACCGTTCAGACATTCCACATCGTCGTGGTGCGGCGGCATTAGATTTTAGTTTGAATGCATATACATTATTATTTTTATTATTATGTGAGTGCAACAGTTTTCGATATACATGTATATATGTTTGATTTCATAAATATTACACAAGAGATAAGTATAATACACACGGCTGCCGCTAAATTTCGATTTCATTCGTTTCGACCCAGAAAATTGAGAAATTACGCTTAGCGCATTCACTTATTCGTTCGCATGCGATCTCTCGCTTGAATCGATCGAGTGCGCTTTTAATCCGCGCTGGTAGTGGTATCTATTTGTATCTTATCTATATTTCTTCATTTTAAAACGACAGACGAAAATCAAATTCAATGTTCAGAACTTGAGTATATTCTATACTGACGCTCTGTCGATCTCGCCGTATCAATTCGGAGGCGTACATAAAAGCATTATATAGATTTTACACACAAATGACAGTATTTTTACAAAAGCGACCATCCCCACCATATAGCGCATCTTATTCTACGACCAAGAAATAGAACGTCAAATAGTACAAGCGACAAAACATAAGAAGAAAAATGAAATCAGCAACAAATATGACAATCACGACTGCAAATCATTCTACGCTAAACATTTTCGTTTTTTTTTTTCGAATAGATTTTCCTTTTCAGTTGATTTGTTGGATTTTTTTGCGTTCGCGTGTGTATCACTTTTTAGCAGCTTCTTAGTTCTAGTTTAGAGCGATGTACTCATACAAGCGAATGACTTTGAATACAAAAATATGTGTTTTTTGCTCTTTATGTGACACATATGAATAACACAAGCCGTTGTACTCATTCTATGCTATTGGAGCGAACACACTGGTATGATGCAATCCATTTCAGTTGATTTTAGAAGAAAAAAAACAACATTCATATCATATTATGATGGTTTTCAACGTCAGTGAAGTTCACGCAAGAGAAACTGAATCCGAAAAAAAATGAATACGTTTCGATTTGGAAAATGGGTTTGGTTATCAGAAACTTGACTCGGGCGCTAACTTTCATCAGTTTATTGTTTTGTTTTTCTATTCTCTATTGATATATTTGATTGAGGACTGTTGTTTGTCACTTGAAACGAGTCTAGGACGGAAAATGTGATGCAAGATAACTGAAGTAAGAGAGAGAGAGAGAGAGAGAGAGAGAGAGAGAGAAGAAAAAACAATTACCGATCGTCGGTTTAATGTGATCATGTTGCCATTATGTGCGCGGTTTCCACAGAAATTGTCGACACTTAAACGGTAGTAAATAACATACAACAAATGAGTAACCAAGATTGTTTCGTGTGTGTGTTTTGGCATTTCTTTCACACGAAAGTCGACATTTCCGTACGCATGATTTGTGCTCATGATGATTCCATTCTCGAATTTTGATTTGCTCGCTTAACTGTGTGCCACGAAAAACAATGGCCAACAAATTGTATTTGGTATGGTTTGTGTGGTGTTAGCATATACAGACATGGGAGTGCGCAATCAAACGAAATGAAAAGAAGTAAGCACGACCTACGTTGATGGCAATGATGACGATCACGTTCGTTGGCACACCACCAGCAAACCAGCAACATTACATTGTGTTACCACGATTACTATGTTTCGGTTGCTTTGTAACTGTTATTTTTTTTCTCACTATCTTCATTCTTCTCGCTTCTTTTGTGCTGCTTTTCTTTTGGCCTTTTCGAATTTGCGCGCACCGACTGCTTGAAATGAATGAAAGCAAAAGTATTTTGTTATGTTTTTTTTTTTTTTTTCTTTCTCGTTAAGTTTTTTTCTTTCTCTTCCTCTTCTTTTACTTCTTCTCTGCATTTTATTTCTCCATTGTAAGTTGTCTTTTCCTGAAAAATATTAATTTACTTGAGCACAGTGTCTGCCACAGTGTACAGCATTGAAACTAAACGACTGAACGATCGAATTGCATGTATGGCAGCACAAAGTGCTGAACGAATGGGGCATTTGAGTATGTGCGCTACGTCAGAGAAAAAAGAAAGTTTTTTCTCTTCAATGCGGAAGAGTTTATTGTGCTCTCTTGTATGTGCCATTGCTGCTATTTTTCTTCATTCTCTTGTTCGTTTCTGTGTTGAATGTGCGCGCCTCTCTTAAACGCGCGCGCACACGCACGCCTCACACACATCGACTTGTTTCGGGTAAATCGATCGCATTTCTTTCCTCATATGCCATTGTTGTGCTGTGTATTTCGTTTACTGTTATTTATTCGCATACTTGCACCTCTGGCTTGAATTATGAATTTACCATTTATTTTCTTTGATTTTGACGTTGAGATAGATCGGGAAGCGTGTGCAAGCAATAAATAAGCACTTAAAGCGGAACACAAAACAGAATAAGATGATACGCGTATACTTTAGCCTCACCAAACCATCAATGGCCAACAATTTCAATTTTCTATGAATACTTTGAAGAAAAAAAGAGAGAAGAATGAATCGCAAAAAAAGGGCCAACGACCATCGACAAATGAATTTGCATTAGAAAGTCGTCATCGTCGCCTATGGTGATATTGACCGCATATTTTTGTTTATTTATCGATG